AGCCAAACTGCAACAAACCTTTAGCCAAACTGATCAAGAAAAAGAGAGAGTCCAAATAAATAAAATTATAAAGAATAATTACAGCTGAAACCACAGAAATACAGAGAATCATTAAAAGTACTAAAAACAATTATATCCCCAAAAATTCAACAATCTAGAAGAAATGGATAAATTTCTAGAAATATATGACCCTTCAAGACAGAACCAGGAAGAGATACAAATTCAACAATACATTAAGATGATTACATACCATGATTAAGTGGGATTTATCCCAGAGATGCAAGGATAGTTCAGTATCTGTAAATCAATTAACATAATACACCACATCAACAAAACCAAGAGTGAAAATTATATAATCATCTCAATAAATGCAAAAAAAAAAAAGGCATTTGACAAAATTCAATATTCTTTAATGATAAAAACAGTTATGGATATAGAAGGAACATATCTCAACATAATAAAGGCCATATATGACAAACCCTCACCTAACATCATGCTCAACGGTGAAAAACTAAAAGCTTTTATTTTAAGATCAGAAACAAAAGGATGCCAACTTACACCACTTCTATTCAACAGAATATTGGAAGTTTTAACCACAGAAATTAGACAAGAAAAAAATAAATAAAAGGCATCCAAATCAGAAAGGAGGAGGTAAACCTTTCACTATTTGCAGATGATATGATTCTATATACAGAAAACCCTAAAGACTCCACACACACACACATGAAAAAAACTATTAGAAACTGGTAAAGTTGCAAGATACAGAATCAATATACAGAAACCCATTGTGTTTCTATACACCAATAATAAATGATCATTAGGAGATATTAAGAAAAAAGTTCCATTTATAATTGCATCAAAAATCATAACATCACTAGGAATAAATTTAACCACAGAAGCAAAAGACCTGTACTCTAAAAATATAAGACACTGGAGAAAGAAATGAGAGAGGACACAAATAAGTGGGAGAATGTACCTTGTTCATAGATTGCAAGAATTAATATTGTTTAAATGGCCTTACTACCTAAAGCAATATACAGATTCAGTGTAGCCTCCATTAAGATACCAGTGGCATTCTTTTGAGAATTAAAATAAATCCTTATTTTATATGGAACCACAAAATGCTCTAAATAAACAAAGAAATCTTGAGAATTAAGCAAAGTGGGATACATCACACTTAGTAATATCAAACTATAGTGTAAAGATATAATAATTAAAATAGTATGGCCCTGGCAGGGTAACTCAGTTGGTTAGAGTGTCATCCTTTTTTTTTTTTTAAATTTAAAAAAATATATATATCTTTATTGATTTCAGAGAGAGGAAAGGCGAGGGAGAGAAAGAGGTAGAAACATCAATGATGAGAGAGTCATTGATCAAGCCCACAACCCGGGCATGTGCCCTGACCGGGAATCGAACCCCAACTGCCTGGATCCCAGGTCGATGCTCAACTGCTGAGCCACGCCCGGCTGGGCTAGAGTGTCATCCTGATACTCCAAGTTTTGGGGTTCGATCTCCTGTCAGGGCACATACAAGAATCAACCGGTGATGCATAAATAAGTGGAACAAGAAATCTCCCTCTCTCTATCTCCCTTCTCTCTCTCTCAAAATCAATTAATAAAAAATTTAAAAAACAGTATGGTACAGACATAAAAACAGAAACATATATCAATGGAATAGAATTGAGAGTCCAGGAGTAAATTCTTACTTAAGTTATCAATTAAAAGGAGGCAAGCATAAAAAAAATAATAAATTTTACTATTCGCAACCACATGGATGGTCCTAGAGGGTATTGTGCTAAGTGAAATAAGTTAGAGAAAGATAAATACCATATGATTTCCTTTATATGTGGAAGCTAAAAAAAAACAAAATAAATGAACAAACAAAATAGAAATAGACTCATAGATACAGATATTGATGATTGCCAAATGGGAGAAGCTGGGTGAAAAAGGTGAAGAGGTTAAGAAGTACAAATTGGTAGTTACAAAATAGTCATGGGAAGGTAAAGTACAGCACAGGATATACAGTCAGTAATATTGTAATAACTATGTATTGTGCCAGGTGGGTACTTGATATTGGGGGGATCACTTTGTAAAGCATATATTGTCTAACCACTATGCTATACACCTGAAACTAATACAAAATAATATTAAATGTAAACTGTAATTAAAAAATAAAAATTCTAAAGAGAGGCAAGACTATAACAGTGAGGTAAAGACAGCCTTTTAGATAAGTGGCGTTGGGAAAACTGGACAGATTCATGCAAAAAAAGTAAAATTGGACCACTTTCTTAAAAAATATACAAAAATGAACTCAAAGTGGATTAAAGACTTAAAGGTAAGACCATAAAATTGCTAGAAGAAATCATAGGCAGTAAAACCTTTGACATCACTGTCAACAGTATCTTACAAAAGAAAAAATAAACAAGACTATATCAAACTCAAAAGTTTTTGCATAGTAAAGAAAATCATCAACAGAACAAAAAGACAACTTATTGAATGGGAGAAGATATTCACAAATGATGCATCCAATATGGGATTATATACAAAATATATAAGGAACTCATACAACTTAACAACAAAAAACAAACAAAGAAAGCAACAATCCAATTTAAAAAATGGACAGAAGGCAGAGGACCTGAATTGGCATTTCTCCAAAGAGGACCTAGGGATGACAAGATGTTCAACATCACTAATCACCAGGAAAATGCAAATTAAGACCACAGTTAGGTATCACCTCACATCGGTCAGGTGGCTATTATCAATATATCAACAAATAACAAGTTCAGGGGGGAAGTGAAGCAAAGTGAACCCTCATACATTGTTAATGATATTGTAAATTAATTCGGCCACTATGAAAAACAGTATGGAGATTCCTCAACAAATTAAAAATAGAACTAACATACATTCTAGCAATATCAATTCTGGGAATCTGTCTAAAATAAAATAAAAACATCAATTTGAAGAGATATATGCACACCTATGTTCAGCAACATTATGAGCCGTAGCCAAGATACGGAAGCAAGGTAGGTGTGCATCAAGATATAAATAGATATAATGGAATATTATTCATACATGAAAAAGGAAATTTTGCCACTTGCAACATGGATGGACCTGGAGGGTGCTGTGTTAAATAATTCAGACGGAGAAAGCCAAGCACTGTGTTATTTCACTTATATGCAGGATCTAAAGAAAACAAAACATGAATAAACAAAACTGAAACAGACGCATAGAGAGAGAAGAAACTCGCGGCTGCCGAAGGAAGAGGCTGTTGGGGGTGGGAATAAAAATTCCGTAAAACGAAATGGCTACTTCCAAAAAACACGCATATTCACCAGCTGTGTGAAAACCACAGACGTTCCCTTTCCAACCCCCGCTAACTTTCCCTCCCGGAGCGCAGGTGCCCGCCGCCGGCTCGG